TTTAAACCATGTTTTATATTTTAAAAGGTAAACTCACCTAGGTCCCTTCCATGGGGTCATGGTCTTGGGTACTGGCTTGGGAGGCTTGGGAGGGTACTTCAGTCAGGCTGAGAAAAAGATCCTGGCTGTTGGAGAGAACGGAGTGCTGTGTGCTCTCCGCAAGCTCGTCTTCCTCCTCCTCCTCCTCCTCCTCTTCCCCGTCCGCAGAATCCTCAGGTGTGGCTGATGAGATTACCCTCGCCTCGGAATCCACGGTCAGAGGTGGGGTAGTGGTGGCGGCCCCCCTTAGAATTGCATGCAGCTCAGCGTAGAAGCGGCATGTCTGCGGCTCTGACCTGGAGCGACCGTTTGCCTCCTTTGTTTTCTGATAGGCTTGTCTGAGCTCCTTGACTTTCACACGGCACTGCTCTGAGTCCCTATTGTGGCCTATCTCCATCATGCCCTTGGAGATTTTTTCAAAAGTTTTGGCATTTCATCTTTTCGAAGGAAGTTCTGCTAGCACAGAATCCTCTCCCCATATAGCGATCAGATCCAGTACCTCTCGTACGGTCCATGCTGGTGCTCTTTTTCGATTATCGGCCTGCATGGTTACCTGTGCTGATGAGCTCTCTGTGGTCACCCGTGCTCTCCTGTGCTGGGCAAACAGGAAATGAAATTCAAATGTTCGCGGGGCTTTTCCTGTCTACCTGGCCAGTGCATCCGAGTTCAGATTGCTGTCCAGAGCGGTCACAATGGTGCATTGTGGGATAGCTCCCGCAGGCCAATACCATCAAATTGCGGCCACACTAACCCTAATTCGAAATGACAGTATCGATTTCGGCGCTACTCCGCTCGTCGGGGAGGAGTACAGAAATAGATTTTAAGAGCCCTTTATTTCGAAATAAATGGCTTCGTTGTGTGGACGGGTGCAGGGTCAATTCGATTTAACGCTGCTAAATTCGAATTAAACTCATAGTGTAGACCAGGCCTAACTCTGGTGTTTGTAACTCTGAGGTTCTACTGTAAACCCTTCTGAAAAACGGAAAGGGAATGGGTGTGGGGAGGGAAAACTGTTAAGGGATGAGATTGTAGTTTTATATTGACCATGGTAGGACAAGCAGTGTGGTGTAGTGGCGAGGGTACTGGGCGGGGAGTCTGTAGACTTAGGTTCCACTCCCAGTCAGCCACTGAGTTGCTGTGTGATCTTGGCCTCTCTGTGCCCTGTATCTCCTCCTACCCTTAAAGCCTGTCTTGACTATTTAGATCTTCAGGTCAGGAGCTGTCTCTTATTATGTGTTTGTTCAGTGACTACTTCAATGCAGCCCTGATCTTGGTGGAATCCTATAGGTGTTATTGTAATACAAACAATACAAGAGTTGAAGCAGGAGGTGAGCATTTGAAATACAACTGACAATCCTACAGGGACAAAAAATCCCATTTCTATACATTGCCTTCCAATAAGGCTATTTTTCTGCAAGGAAACAAACCTACATTTTGAAGCAGCATTAAACACCTCCGCCTCCATAAGGGGAACATGCTTCTCTATTTCCTGTGGCTATCTGCAGGGGGGTTTTATGCTATATTATTGTAGAAACACGCCCCTCTCAAGGAAACACAAATGCCAGATGGAAGAAAAGGAGCAATCAGAGGAGATCATGTTGGAGAAGACTTCTCGTGCCCACCAGAGCTATCTTGGAGGTTTCCTACACTGTGGTCCAGATAGCCTGGGAGACTCCTTCAAACTCATTTGTTTTCTGTGTCCCTTTTTGATTTCCCGGAATAGTTGGAACCCACTGATGAGTAAAAACGAAACAGCCCCAAACCTCAACCCCATAATGAAAGCTGTGGCCAATGTCATGAAACAAGAACTAACCTGCCTACGAAGGCAGTTGTGCCCTTAAGCATTTGAATAAGCTACGGCATCAACCACTTAGCCACAACAGTGAGCTATAAAACCTCACTGAGCCAAGGGATTTTACATAGTGACTGTATTGAAGATGGAGTGCAGAAATTGTGAGTTTAATCATTTGTATTTGGGGATGCCCCCAAGGACCAAAACTGAGTGCTGCAGCCAGATGTCAATGGGGCTGGGCTGATGACTCATGATATGCAGCAATGCAGGAGATTGCTCCAGAGACACTTGCTCATTTAGCATTTGGAGGCTGCTTTGACTTGCAGAAGCCTCTCTTTATCAGGATTTCCAAGCAAGGGGAAAAAGCAAAGCAGGTAACGAGTTGGAGGATTAAATAGCTGACACTCAAAATTCTGTTCACTGTACTACCTCCTCCTCCCACCCGCTTGCTTCCCACTTGCTGCCTCCTGCACTTAGACTGTAAGCTCTTTGGACAGGGACTGTTTGCTTTGTTCTTTGTCTGTAGAGTGCCTAGCATCTTGGGATCCTGACCCTGGACTGGGACTGGGATTCCTAGGTGTTATCATAAAACAAATAATAACTTCTTCCCCGAGTCCTGAGTTCAGGATTCTGCTTTTCCTCTTCACAGTTGATGGCCTCCCAAATACAGACCAGGGAGGCTTTCCCAGAGATGAAATTCACCTCTATGCAGAGGTCTTAGGAACCACTGATCCGCTCAAAATAGGACTGACGAGGGTCTTCAATTGTACTTATACTTTGTGCTGGCTGTTTGCGCTGTGCTAAATTTCACCTGCTGTGAATTGATCTCAGTGGCAGCCTTCACCCGTGGACCAAGGCCAAGATGTGGCTTCAATATATACAAAATGAAAACCATCCAGAGAGCACTCCTGGGCAAAATCATGTTACAAAATGTGACAAAGCTGCAGAAAAGAAAGCAGATGTCCTCATTGTATTTTAAACAGCCCTTCTTGCTCCTGCTGACAAGCTGGTGCTGATGGCAACTTCTAATCTCTAGGAATCCCTAATAAGCAGCCGGCTCCCTTAGGAGAAGAGGAAAAGACCTGCTGAGTTTTGATCAGCAAAGTGCGCAGTTTGCAGCCGAATCAGCAGGCACCACCCGATGTAGCTCCCTAGCTTGTCTCGCTTGTTTCTTTTGATATATGTTATTTCTTAAAGGACCAGAGGGTGCTCAGCAGGGGTAGGAAAGCTACAAGTCTCCGGAGCTATTTGCTCATTAGGAAAAGAGAACATCCTGCACCAGAAGACTGAGTGGGTTTTGTGAACCAACTATTGGCTCTTGACTAGTAAAGGCCCAGCAGGGAGGTGCTGAGAGCCCTGTGCAGCCACTCCAGACACGAGAGGTCAAAATGGAACATGGGCTCAAAGGACCAGGTCTTGAAAGGCACAGCTCCCACTGAAGCTGCTGGGACTCGCAGGGGTCAGAACTGTGGTGTTCGCAGCTCTGTAACTTACCTGTCATGGTCTTGTTTTCTGTGCATTGCACCTTTAGATTTCTGCACACCTGCTATCTTCGGTACTTCTACACCCCCATTGCTACACTGTCAGAGGGCCTCACCATCTTCAGTGTATTTTTCTTCACAACACCTCTGGGAGGTAGAGTGGTGCTGTTATCCCCATTTGCAGGGGGGGAACAGAAGCACAGAGGGGCTAAATGACTCGCCCAAGGCCACACAGGAAGTCTGGGACAGAACAAGGAATTGAATCCAGGTCTCCCAAGTCACAGGCTAATGCCCTAAGCACGGGACCATCTTTCCTCTCCTCAGAGCAACTGTTCTGTCTTCCTCCACCTTCAGAGCAAAGTCTGGTAGCTAACAGGAAATCAAATCTTGAAAGGGATAAAACGTTATTTTGTATTCTTTAAAAAAGGGCGGAGAGGACGATTTCAAAGGTATTTGGATGGCTGAAAATGCAGATAGGCACCTGGGAGCTTATCTGCATCTTTAGGTGCCTCACTTACCTTTAAAAATCATGCCGGAGGGCCCAGAACCTTAAGGGTGTTTAGTCACATAACTCCCATTGTTTTCAGCTCCCATTGAAATCAGTGGGAGGTAGTGCTTAAATACTCTTGAGGATCTGGGCCTAAGTGTTAGTGCAGGAGTGAGCTATTCTCTTTATGAGCTCCAGAATAGCAGCAGGATGGGCCCGTTTCTCCCCTCACTTATAGGCATTTTACACTGTTGTTACTCCACTTGCTTCAGTGGGGTTGTTGGTGATCTCACCGTTGTGAGAGGAGAGTGGTGTTCAGTGGCCCACAAGAAGGGAGGAAGAACCCCAAAGCTGCCTCTTTGCTCAGAGCTGTGCCTTATTTCTGTAGTCAAGAAAAGGAGGACGCCTTAGCCATCTTCCTAACCTGCTGGATGCTGAGTGCTGCCTGAGAGGTGCTGGCCACCCTGAGCTCTCTTTGACGTCAGGCTCCAACTGACCTGCACTTTTTGCACAGCCCGTTAGCCGTGGAACGTACTTTTGCTGCTGTTGTATTTTAAAAATCCACCCCAGCTATTCTCTGCAGGCCCTGAAACAGACAGTCTTGGGTTTGGCTTTCACCCAGTCTGTGTGGACACCTTTGCTAATTCACCCCGTGAGTGATGCACTTTCAAGTTAGTCTTTAAGCAAAAGGAGATAGGTATGCAATGGAGCTAGCTGCCTGGTTATTATTCACCCCCACTGGTATTGCAACAGTTCTCTTGATGCCCCAGCAAATTGCTAGCAGAACAAAAAGGAACCAATGTTTGTAGTTTGTCCTTGGTCAATATCTCTCCTGAAAAAGCCAAGCTGAATTCTCTCTTAGCCGAATTCGTGTGGAACAGCCACATCCAGTGGCCAGGTAAGCTAATCACAGGCGTGTGCCTCTCCTATGGGGTAGCCTAGCAGGGAATGGTTGCAAGATGGCACTTTGAGGCGGGATTCCCCACTGGGGCTAGCGTGCCTGTACAAGTAGCATATTCACATAAGCAGCTTCTATGAAAGAGGGAGGGGATGGGGTGTGTGTGAGCCCAGCCCCTTAATTCTCTCTCTTTGTGCTAGTCTGGATTAGTTGCCTTTACAAAATGGACCAGGTCAGGCTGTGCTGTTGTTTTGCCCTCCTCTTCGTTCTCACAAAACTGCTTATACCCATCATGCTTTGCAGATCGAAGCCCTCCTCATGGAGATGCAGAATCCAGACACTGGCATCAAAATGCACACTCAGAGGGTGATGATCACAAATATCCCACATGCGATGACAGGTAAGATGCCAATGGCACTACCCTGCTATTTTTCTGAGCCTCTGGAGAAGAGCCTGTTTCTTCATACAAATGGTAATAAACCAAAAACTGGCTTCTCTTACTATTATTCTATTTACAAGCATTTATATGGCTCCCATCACCGTGTATCAGTGGCGTAGCTAGGCTAGGAAAATTGGGTGGGCCCCACTTTTGGGTGGGCAGGCAATGACGGGGGGACACCTCCACTTACGGGGATTATGGTTTTGTGGGGCCTGGGCCAGGACAAGTGGGGGTCCCTCCCACCCCTTCTGACTGCAGTCCCTGTGCGCCCCTGCCATGGAAATGGGGTTGGGGCGCAGGGGCTTGCCCCGCTCTGCCCGCCCACCTGGCGCTCCCGCAGGTGAGCGGGTCCGGGCGGTAGGGCTTTCCCCGTTCCGCCCGCCCAGCACTCCCGCCAGGGAGCAGGATCTGGGCGCAGGGAGCGGGGTCCGGGCACTGGGGCGTGCCCCACTCCACCCACCAGCCCGGCGCTCCCACCGGGGAGATGGTCTGGGTGCAATTCGGGTGGGCCTGGATGGTAAGTGGGTGGGCCATGGCCCACCCAGGCCCACCCGTGGCTATGCTCCTGTCGTGTATGCTGGTGGTTTCAGGCAAAAAAGGGAAAAAAATGGGCTTGTACCCTTCACCCTCCCCCCCTTTATTTTATCACTCTGGGATGCATACAGAAGACTTGAGAGAGTTTTGTTAATAATAAAAAATCTGCATGTTGTTTACACCGGAAAGACAGGTTTTGTCCACCCAGGAGACTCTATGGATGATTGGAGAACTAGTGAAATGATGCCATCAAATGAGAGAGGCGACTACAGGCTGGTCAGTTGAGAGGGGAAGGAGCTTTTAGACAGGCTCTTTAAAATTCTTGGTTAGCTTTTGTTTACACAACTATTCATCATCCAGCATGAGGCCACTGTTTGTTAGGGATAAAAATCAAGACCCTTTCTCCATTTACCATCACTGGGGAGGAATATTGTTCCTTTGTTACAGGCTGGATCTGTCGGTGTAAAGAGTGCTGAGAATTCTGTCAAACAAGTGCAGCGCAAATGAGCATTTAATATACAATTAACCCCCTGAGAGGGGATTAACTCTGAGTAGGCTGGGCAGAAACTCCTTAGCCATGCTGGTTTAAAAGTGTATTACTAATACATTCTAACGAATGTTCTAAACCTCTAGGATAGACAAGGCAGTGTGTGCCAGATAGGAGCCTAAAATGGGCCATGTGCCTGTACAAATACGTTATTTCTGCATGCACATCAGACATTTTGCCCACTTACGAGAAGTGTCTGCAAATATAGGCCTGTTGTTTCATGCACCCATCTTTGGGAATCTGGGCTGAAATCCTGGCTCCACTGAGTCAATGGCAAAACTCCCATTGACTTAAATGGGCACAGGAGTTCACCCCAGCCCTTAAAGCAGCAGAGAGGAAGGTCATTCCTAGTTAAGAACAAATGACTGCTTATATGGCCTTGACAAGTCACACTGTGTCAGAACTGAAGAGCTGCTCCCTTCTCCACCCTTGTTACGTACCTACTTCGGAGAGATCTTCAATAGCTATGGCGTAAGGTCATGTGCTCTCCACCTGTCGCGTCCCCTTGTGTCAGGGTATAATGCTGCAAGGGGTCCTTGTCCCTGGCATCTCTTGCAGGCCGTCTGTCTCCTGCAGCTCTCTGGTCAAGTCACTAAGTTCAGTCCCCTTCCAGGGTAACAAGAAGGTCCAACTGAAAGTTCACAAGACATCCCAATACAAAAGAGCCTCCATCCCATCCTTTGGGGTCAGTCATCAGCCTCACCCCGAGCTCAGTATTGCTTCCAGTGGGCTTGCATGATCCTTCTTGAGGGACTGGTGGGGGAACCCAGGCCCACTCCCTACTCTGGGATCTGGCCCAGGAACCCTGTATTGAGCAGGCAGGTCGGCTTCTTCAGACTTGCTGCTGTTTCCCTGGGCCACTTCCTTCCTCTGACCTCCCCCATGTTGCTTTCCTACAGCTTGTGCCTAACGCAGCCTCTCATTGGTTCCCAGGCCTCTGGATTCTCCCCAGGTCCGCCTAGCTCCTCCTTTCTCTGTTGGAAGAACCATCCTTCCACCTCTCAGCTTCCACTGAAGTGCTTTTACTGACCCTACCTCAGGGCTCCCTTCTGACAGGAGCCTGACCTGCTCTCTGGGGGTTTCTCTCCACAGGAGAATCCTGTCCCCTCTGCAGTCTCCTCCCTACTGAGTTCCCTCCAGTTCCTTGTGAAGCCCAGGTACCTAATGATCCTTACCTACTTCCACCCCCCAGTGGGCAGGAGGCCATCAGTCAGTCATAGGTGCACTCACTGGCTCTTAACTCCACATCTAACAGGCGATGAGAATGTGCCCCATCACATCTGGATATACATTTCCAGAAAGAATTAAAATGGGCAGAGCGATACAAGACTGTAATATGGAGTTTTAGAAATGAATAGCAACCAATTAATCTCCCCTTTGAGCATTTTCTGGTAATAATCATTTTTCTTGAATTCACTGGAGAGGAGCAAAATATTCAACCCACTTCGGTGCCTCTAAATTACAGCTTTTCCTCATTTGAATAGGTTGAAGAAGAAACAGACAGGTAGCTGTGCTTTGATGTGCCAAGTTTGTCATTACCGTCAGCTACGAACACGCTGGAAATACACTATCAACACCTTTACTTCCCTCTCCTAGAAACCATCAGAAGAATATTACACTATAAATACTCACTGCTTTGCACACCTTGTACCAAATTCTGCTCTCGCTTTGCCTTTTCTGCAGTCCTTGGGAACCCAGGACTGCAGAAAGTCCTGCAGTTCTTCTCGGCCAAATCCTTCTCTCCAGTGATGCCCTGGGGCTGCACAGGGATAACTGAGAGGAGGATTTGGCACTGAAGATCTGTAGGGGAATATTGCTTTCTCCATTTTCTGGATGGGGAAACTGAGGTAGATAGGTTAAGTAACTTGCTCAAGGGCACAATGGGAATTGGTGTCAGGGCAGGGAATAGCTGGCAGAACTTGGGAGGTCCTGGCCATCAATCTTATTCTCAGACGTGTCTTCTATCCTTCTACACACTATGGGGCAGACCCTCTGTTTGCTTAAACAGGTGTAGCACAAAGTCAGTGAAGAGATATATAGCATATATATAGCCCTACATCTTCCAATAGCACTATTACTAGAGTGTGTGGTGTAAATGGGCACAACTCCACTGCAGGCAATGCAGAGAACTTGGCTCTTCATGTTCAGGAAACTACGTAGATGCATGCCAAATCCCTAAAAAGTTCCAGAATTTCTTTGCAAAAGGCAGATAGTCACCCATGTTTAATTTGTGTCTTTTAGGGAGAGCACTTACAAACAGAGCTCTCTAGGTAGGAGTGACAGAATAATCTTTTAATTTGATCTATTTAAGGAAGCAGTCAGTGGGATAAAAGCTCCAGGCTCCTCGTACAAGGCTAAGTAATCAGTATAATGTCAGGAAAGGTCAACATTTCAATCCGCAGCTGTAGGTGACATTTGAAGAGAGAGGCTAGTAATTGATCAGGGACCGCATGCGATTTAGCCTGGCCTTGTTTAAATGGCGAGAGCTTCAGAGTTTTGTTTGCTCCTCAGAAGATAATGAAAGGGCTAGTGGAGGCTGACGCTGACTTTATGTATGGCTGACGGATACAGGCCATATCACCTTGAGAGGCCTTTGAAAGCTGAAGTACATTTCAGTACATGGAACTTGGCTTCCCTCTGATATGTCTTATTGACCACTCTTGACAGAGAAGCTAGGTTCTAACACCCATTGAACTCAATGACAGAATTTATTTCAAAGGGAATTTTGAAAGAGAAAGCACTTGGTACTATTTGCAAAAGCAGGTAACCAGTGAAACGACTCAAGGGGCTAGCAAAGATCAGTTATTTAACAGAGGTGGCCTTCTAAAGCAGCAACAGCAGAACTGTGCTCTGTGCATTTGGGTTTATCTTTTAAGACAGGCTGTTGCCGAGTGACAGTTGTCTTTCTTTCATCATTGAACCCTTTTTATCCCAGACACTCTTTCTAGGGCTGCAGGCCTACTCCTGCCCCCCAGTGACATCGTTTGGCCACACCTTTGCCAATTCCATGAGAGCAGGTGACAGGAAAGCACATGCATTGCATACGCTAGGGAATTCCCATGGGAGAAATGCACCCCTGTGTGGAAAATGCGCACAAGACCTATGCATCGCTTACCTCCCATGTAAGCCAGATCACTGGGGTTTAAATGATTCCCAGACCTCATGTGGCCCCTCTGTGCAGGGGTGAGGGTTTAAAACCAAAATACCTAACACAGCCACCCTGACCCATCACATGCCCCTACAACCACCTCATCACCAACTTCCTTAATAGGAAAACCATGGTTTCCAAAGAACAGCTCTTTTGGGCACATTTTCTTCTAGGGAGGAGGGATTCTTCTTGGAAGATCCCTCCCCCCCATTTCTTTCCTTAACACCCCGCACCTTTGAGGTCCCTGTTACAGCCACCAGCCTTCTGGCCCAGGATGACTGAGCTGGGTCCCCTTCAAAGTCCATCACTACCACTCCCTGCCCATCATGATAAGAGAGAAGTGGTGCTGATATTGTCATCTGATGCTATGAGAGGGTAGTTCCGTTTCCATGACCCATTCCAGACTTGGTTTTGCATAGGACTGGCCATTTAGTGTCAGTTCAGATGGCGTTTTTTGTGATGGAGATGTCTGGACAGAGGCCCACAAAACTCATGTCACATAGCCAGCAGATGGTAACAATTCTTAGATTTGAACCTATGCCGACCTAAAAATGAGGGGCTCTGTATTAGTCCTGGTTGATATTTTTTGATCAAAATATATTGTTGACAAAAATAGCTTTTTGACCAAAGTGAAAAATATAAATTTTAATTTTGGCTGAAATTTTTCATTTTTTTTAAAATTTTGTCTAAAAAATGGAAACTGAAAATATTTTGATAACCAAAACCTTACAGTTTTTAACATTTTCATTTTTTGGTTCAGTTTTCAGGAAAAACTTCTGGCTTCTGGTTTTTAAAACCCAAACATTTAAATAAAAAAACAGTTATTTTTGTTAACAAAAATGGTTTTAAAAAACTGAAAACATTTTTAGTTTTTTAAAACCATTTTCAGTGAAAATGTTGTTTTTGAAAATCAAAAATTCTCATGGAAAATTTTGCAAAAACAGATTTTTGTTCCCCAGAACTTCCTGTAGAAAAACATTTTTTAACCAGCTCTACTCTTCCCCATTACCAATTCCCCAAGCCTTCTACCTCCCTGCCTACTGAATGTATTTCTATTCAAACGATAAATCCCCTTTCAACTTGGATTCATGGATGCTTTTTATATCACTGAGTTATACATTTCCAGCCTTTGAAACCTGAATTGTTTCTTTATGTTTCAATTTAATTTGCGACTAAGGATTCTAATTGAGTTGTGTGATTCCGGATGAGCATTCCCTTCCTTTTCATGCTGGCAATACAATGTTCCCTATGAGTTCACCTTTACAAAGAACACATCCACTTCACATTTCCAATTATGTTGGGTTTTGATGTGGAGTCTCACTAGCTACGCTGAAAATTGTTGGTCTTTATAAAAGATTTTGTTTGGTTATGGCAGAAAGATAGTCATTAAAAACCAGCAGAAATATGAATTTTAAAATGGAGGCTTTTGGAGATCTCTAAAGGCACAATAGCAGCAGCTAGAAGATGTTTAAAAATACCCTGTGCCGAGACTGGCTGGGTGCCTCACGTAAGGGGCAATTACTATTATTTGTTATTTGTGTTGCCATAGCGCCTAGCAGCTCTAGTCCTGGACAGGCCCCCAAAAGAGACAGCCCCAGCCCCAGAGAGCTTACAATCTAAGTAGTGATAATACTTTGCCCTTCCATTGTGCTTCTATCTCAGGATCTCAAAGTACTTCGCAGCCGTTAGGCTGAAATTCATCCCCTCTGTCAAGTCCCACTTCAGCCCAAACATGGCCTGTGCACGTCAAAGCTGTCTAGGAGCAAGGCCTCCCCAAACAGCAAGCCCCTTGCTAGTCTAGCAGTGAATTGAAACTCAACTGAAAATGACCCCCCAGGCAATTCAACTCCACAACAAAAAATAAACAGTTCATTGCACGCTTCAGCTGAAGGTGCAGTCGGATTGCTAGGCCCTGACCCAGGCCTGGGAGCTTTGGGTTAGAACCAGAGAGCTCCTCTTCTGCCCCAAATTCAACCAACACCCACCCCGTGAAGAAGCAGGCAAGCCTTCTTATCTCGCCTGATGGATCCTGATTGGCTGCTGCTTCTGTCTCTCCCGTCTAGCCACTGGGGAGGGGATCAAGTCTTGTTGGTTCTGCTGGTACTAGAGCCTGTATGGCATCTCTAGGCAGTGCTTGGAGGACTAAACTCACTGCCCCTCTTTCCCAAGTGACGTTCTTCCGTTGGGTGGGTGTGTCAGGCTAGAGGAGGCCTGGTACACCCTGTCATAATGCACCATTTAGGGTTTAAGTGGGACTTTACTGTGCTTGCCTTTTGTTGGCCTTCTGCACTGAGGTGAATTTCACCGCTCCATGAATGAAGGAAACAGGTGTGTATTATTATCGGTCATGTACACATGGAGCAATTACGCCACAGGGAGATTAGGGGCCTCATGTTCCTCTCTGCATACATGAGCAGACAAGGCTAGACCTACAGAAGGATGTGGGTATTTTGCTTCTGTGGCATGCACTCCCTTGGGTGAAATTCACCCTATTCAGAGAACCAGCACAAGAGGCCTATGGATCGCTGAAGTCCCACTAAATCTCTACTTTGAGGGCTTAATAGTGCGTAGGCCTGGCATCATCTCTCTTCAGAGGGGTGACTCTTACCCCACTTGCAGCAGGGGTGGCAGAAGGTTCCTAACAGTGGGGGGGGGGCCCACCGGTACCTGAACTGTGGCCCCAGCCCCTGCCCCGCCCCTTCCCCCGAGACCCGGTTCCCGCACAGCCTCTTCTCCCTAAGACCCCACCCCCTTTTCCCACATCATTTGTCCTTAGGGACAATTAAAAGTGGGGGCCATGGCCCTCTGGCCCCCCCTATTCCGGTGCCCCTGACTTGCAGCAGCAGCCCCTCTTTGGTGGCTTCATGGGTTTCCATCTCTGTGGGGGCTGTAGGAGCTACAGTCATTGGGCTCCTCTGCACTAGTCTCCCCCGCTGCCCCAAGCATGGTAAATTTACTTTCCAGTGGCGCTGTGCTCACATCATTTCAGAGTGTGGTCTGCTCTCCAGTTAGCTGTGAAGTCCTTCCAAGTTAGTTGAGTGACACAGGAAATGCTGAGAAGACCAATGGGTGAAATCTGTTTGACAAGGGGAAAACATCAGATCAAGTACGATCATCAAGGGACAGTGTGATAACTGAGAAGGGCCTGCTGTAGTCTGCAGGATCCCATTTTACTGCCTGTGTTTGACTGTACATTTACCACCCGACCAAGAGCTGGACTGGCAATTAGCCAGAAGCCTGTGGGTCACACCTGCTTTGAATAAATGGGAATGCAGTGCAGTTGCCTTAATTTTTAATATGTGCCAGTTGCCTGGGTTAAGATAGGGCTTGGCATGCTAGGACCTATAGTCTTCACAGCCTCCATCTCCATACTGGAGATGATGACTGTAGTGCAGGACTCTGTGGGCTGCACACCACTTCTGATTTATAGTGTCTGGTATTTTCTTTGCCTTGCAGGTAGTGATATACTGCAGTGGATTATCCAGCATCTGAAAATCGTTGAGGAAGGTAGGAGCGTAACCATCTAATGCTTTTATAGCTTTGAATCGTGAAACTATAATTCGTTGTTAGATGCAACCTACATTCTTCTCTCCTGGGTAGTGGGTTGCTTCTGAAATTTGCTGCAGTCTCTTTGTATCATCAATATATCTGACTTCTCTTTTTTTAGAGGCACTAAACTTGGGGAATCTAATTGTCAAGTATGGATACATCTACCCTCTGCAGGAGCCGAAAAACCTCACCCTCAAAACAGATAGCAGCCTCTACAGATTTCAGGCAAGTCATATCTTAGACAGAGAACGCTGGCTGGACATAATGTACCCTGCATCTTGGCTTAGAAACGGAGGCTTCTGTGCTTCGGTATAATTAAATGATTTTTCCTTGTAGCTTCGAAACGCCAGTGGTTCCTTCTGAATGTATTTTCCCTGGCAGCTTGTACACTAGCAAATGAAATCACTGGAACAATTTCAGGAGACAGTATGATGAGCAACTAGAATACACTGTAGAAACAGGATGTGATAAGCAATTAGGTTCATGGTTGGACTTGCCTCCACATACAATGAGAGATTAGGGCACTATCATATAGTTTTCAAATGAGGTTATTAATACCAGTTGTCTGGTTCCCTTCATGTTCCCCAATCCAAGCTCCAACATCTTGACAATATCAAGGAGAACATTGCAAAGTAAGACATAAGCATGCACTTTGATGTTCTGAAAGCTTGCATGGTTTTGAAAGTCTCACCTTGTTAACCATAACTGATTGTCAAAGCAGAGGAAGTGGATATGTAATTGACACTCCATTAAACCTGATTTAATAACAACAACAAAAATAGCCTTGTTTTATCCTCCTAACTGCTTATGCTGAGCGAAGAAGATGGATATTTTGTGTGTGTGTTGATTCAGCCCCTTAAATGGTAGAAGTATGGGGAATGATCAGCTTCTTTTTGTAGCATATTTGCAAAGCAGGTGACTCCCTCCTCCTTCTGTTTACACAAAAAAACAACGTCGCCAATATGATACCAACCAATGTAATGATTTTAAAGAGCCAGATGCAGCTGATGGTGGCTACATGAAAACTGAGGTTTTGTTTTTGGCTTCTTTCTGCAGACACCATATTTCTGGCCCACCCAGCAGTGGGCAGCAGATGATACCGACTATGGTAAGTGTTAACGTTATAGCTATTCTGTGAAAGCTGAATGGAGCGTGAGGATGTACAGCACACTCCCATATAGTCAGGTGGATGCCGATGATACTCTTAAGTGTTTTCTCTAGGTCCTGCTGTTCTGGCTATGCAGACTGGGTTGATCATCTTGGTTTATTATTATAGGGCTGCTCATGGGCTTTAGGGTACACACTGACATAGGCGCTGACTCCGGGGGTGCTCCGGGGCTGGAGCTCTGCACCCACCGGCAGCTCCCTGCCGCACCCCCCGCCCCAGCTCACCGCCTCCACCTCCTCTCCTGAGCGTGCCGCCGAGTCCTGCTTCTCCCCCCTCCCTCCCAGTGCTTGCACCCGAAACAGCTGTTTCGTGCAGCAAGCGCTGGGAGGGAGGGGGAAGGAGGAGGAATGCGGTGTGCTCAGGGAAGAGGTGGGACCGGGGATTTGGGGAGGGGTCCAATAGGGGCAGGGAGGGGGCGGAGTTGGGGCAGGGGGGCACGAGCACCCACCGGCGCCAAGGAAAGTTGGTGCCTGTGCACACTGATTTGTTCATTGCGGGGTTGCTCCCAACGCCTAGGTCACCAGCTTTTATTTACCTGATACTTTTGTACCTTATATATTTGTCCTAGAACCTGAAGGCCTCGCCTTCTGAAAATAACCCAGTTTGGTTTTAAACATTAAAAGAAAATATTTTAAAAGCTTTAGAAGAACAACAAAATTGCTCCCAAATTGGAAAAAAAAAAATTCCTAACCTTTTAAGGGTTTGATCCAGTGCCCATTGAAGCCAAATTGAAACCCTTCCATTGACTCCAATGTACTTTGGCCCAGGCCTTAAGGAAGGCACAATTTGTTGGCATATAACTGCATAATCAACCACATCAAGCTCGAGAGTAAGGCAGGATAGCCATTCTTGCACTTCTGTATCGACAAGTGGAGCATCCTTGACAGACTGTAGCCCCTAAGGACATCTTTCTTGAGTGGGCTTCTGTGAGATTGGAGCTTGTGTCTGGGAAAGATGTCACGATGGACAATGGTCCACTCTTTGTCATAGGGTCAGCTTGCCAATTCCAGGGACTAGCTTTATTGATCTGCCTCGTAACTGAACCTTTTTGCTTTTCTCCCAGCAATCTACCTAGCCAAGAAAAATATTAAGAGGAAAGGGATTTTGGAAGAGTATGAAAAGGTAGGAAGACGTTCTATTGTTTGTGCCTTTGCCAGCTCCGAGCCAGCTGCTCTTGAGATTGGAGGGTGGAAAGTGACCAAGAGCTGCCAGTGCACTTCCCAGTGGCACCTCTGTTTTGTGAAATAGCTGCGGATGTACAAAAGTGTTCAAAGTAAATGATCATTTTAGTGGGGCAGTTACCCTCTCCAAAATGTTGGAATGAAGTATTCAGAGTGAATGTAGTTCATAGTAATTCATTTCAGAACCACCCAGTTTTTCTAGCTCAAATTGCCAGCCTATCCCTTGTTTAGTTCAGAGAGGAGGGCGTGTTTTTATCATGTTCTGCATGTTGAGAACCAAAAGCTCTGAACTGAATGGTGTTGTCACAGTTTCAGAGCCATTGCACCTGTATTCACCCTCTTTGGTCCACCACTTTAGGCTTCCGGCTCCCAGCTGTCTCCTCTCTTGGGCAGAGACCCACATCTCCCTCCCTCTTGACTGGGAATTTTAAGGCTGCATAGGTCCCTGCCTACACTGTGATATCCCCAGCAAGCCAGACTGCCTAAAAGGCCAGTGCCTGCATTTTGCTTCCTGTCCGAGGGGGATGACCCGTGTATTTCCCTCAGCTATACGTCACCACCCATTGCCTTCTAAGCAAGCACATTTAAGCATTACAGAGCAAACATACTAAAATAATTAAAAAAAAAAAACCCTAGACGCATGCTTGAAAGCTTACCAGAGATCACCCCCTGATTCCAGTCTTTGACTCTGGTAGGTTTTAGTCCTTTGAAACATAAAGCTGTTTTCCCTGTGGTTACAAATTCATCCATCTATCACCCAAAACGAGACCCCAAGTCTGCGCAGTACAGCCATTTTTTTTATACAACTCGGACCTTTGATCTTGGCCATCTGTAACAGGTAATCAGCAGACAATGGCCCTCTCTTCAGGGCACAGCTTCAGAAGGCTGGTTTTTGCATAACCAGAGCTGGGGAATTCACATTAACTTCTCCCTTGGGATTCCCCAAGAAATACACTTCATTCTAATTGTCCCAGAAGTCCATACTTGTCTGCTACATTTTCAGTGTAGTCTTTTGAACTCCAAGGTCTCACATCTGTCACATCTCTCCTCTAGAGAAGTTACATCCAATCCTGGCCTGCAATAATACATAAACTTAGTCTTCCAAGCATATTGCAGGAAATTGCCAGGTCTGTCACAATTGTTCATAATTTTGTACTAACTGGGTTTTTTATTTTTTAATTTCAGGAACATTACAACTTGCTAAATAAAAAAATAAACTACAAATGGGATTTTGTTATTATGCAGGCCAAAGAGCAGTATAGGTGAGCTCTCTCAAATTCTGTTACTTGCTTCTTTATTTGGGGGCATGAGGGACTATGGGGTGTTGACTTGATGTGCAATCAAATAATAGAGTTCAATTAAAAATATTAAATTACAATTTTACAGCAGCTTATTAACATTCCCTTGGGAACGTGAAGGTGAAAACTGTTTCCATATGAACTGTATTCCTCCACACATGACCTGCTATTCGTTTGACACTTAACTTGGGCTAAAAATTCTCAATTTTCAAGGGAGTGGGCAGTGGCCTACACAAATTCACACTCTCCCATTGCACCTGCATTTGCTCTTGCACACAAGCATAACTAAATTCGCTTACACACAATGTGGAGTTGCAGTGTGGTTTACATATGCAAAGGAGCACATGTGTGGGTGTGCATATACCCTTCTTGCATGTGCCAATAGCTCTTTGCAAATGCTTCATTGCACATGCAAAAGTAGGTTTTTGCCCTTACTTCTGTTACAACTTCTGTTGAAAATGAGGGGCCCGATCCTGCCGCGCAAAAGACCTTACTCAGGCAAAGCTTCCAGCAACTTCAATACCAGTTTTGCTGGAGTAGGGATTTCCGAATCAGGCCCTTGACCCTTTGGAGTTGTAAAAGGTTCTCTTTGAATCACCATCTGAGTGGCCTGGCCGACAGCCAGCATGAGGTCTGTGGTGCCGTCTTCTCTGCTGTATGTGCTCAGCACCTTTGAACTTTGAATCAGGCCACTTTTATTTAGGGGCTTAACCCTGGATTCCTGTCTCAACCTTTAGGCATCTAGGCCCTTGCATATAAGATGTTGCCTGGTACCCCAGCACCTTGCATTTCCGCATTACAATTGCATCAGGCAAGTCAGAACAGAATCTATGAGATTGCCTCTTGGAAACATGCCGTCAATTCCTGTTTGTTGCTGCAAATTAACACTGTTTGGTACAGATCTGGCTCAGGCTAAGGGGATGTCGACACTGCAGTCCAGGCGTGTGATTGCAGCTCATGGAGACATACCCGAGCTTGCTTTAATGTTGCTAGTTAGGGTGCTGGAGCAGTGGAGCTCTGGGGCAGTGTTGGCTTCAGTGCGGTCTAGTCACCCTGGTAATTACCCAGGTTCCGGGCAGGCTTGTAGAGCCCAGGCTGAAACCCATGCTACCATGGCATCACTGCTCCGGGACCCGAGCTAGCTAGATTGAAGCTAGCTCGGGCAGTCACACTCCATGACTGCAGTGTGAACATAGCCTAAGAGACGCACAGTGCGTTTTTTAAAGCCAACACTGATCCTCTCAACATCTCTGTGAAATTTCACCCGGGGCAACTGAAACAGTGACAGGGGAAGTGACGTGTTCATCGCTATGCAGTGAATGCATTGGGAACTAGCACCCCAAGTCAGAGGTCAGAGGTTTAGACCTAGGACTACCTAGCTTCCAGGCCTGTATGGTGTCTGCTATGTTCTTCTGTGGACAGTAGTTCCCATCAAAACCACCCGTTCCCCAAACAAATGGGTGTCAGAGACATCACGGTTATCTCCCGCATGGTAAACAGCAGACACTGTAGGCACCTGAAATGTTACAGGGAACAGACTAGGGTGACCAGATAGCAAGTGTAAAAAATCGGGACGGGGGTGGGGGGTAATAGGTGCCTATATAAGAAAAAGCCCCCAAAATCGGGACTGTCCCTATAAAATCAGGACATCTGGTCACCCTAGAACAGACATACATGAGGGGGCAGAATTGAGTGCAGGTAAAAGGGAGGAATTCTAACAAATTGTTGTCAGGCCAAACAGAAGAGAATACACCTAATCCCAGCTGAGCTCAGGAAGAGGTTGTTTACTCAAAAACTAGCACCCTGCATTGATATCAGTGGGGTTCAACCAATCGTCAGTTGTAAGTTAGGACAGCACGACGTGCAGTCAAGAAATAGCAGAGTTTAGTTGTGGCCTGAAGAAGCAGCACACACTCAAACCTTCTGAATGTAGCCTTGTGAGCCTGTAGGTCAGGAGGCTGAGGAAAGGTCAGAACAGCATCATGTTCTCGCTCTTGCTGGTTTTAAAGGAAAACAGTGCAAATTCCTTCGGTGCTGTCCCCGTCAGTGAGAACTGTGGCTAACATGCAAGAAAATGTCATCAAAAGGGAAAAATAACCCACACGTTCCTCTGATGGGATTAAAACCTACTCTTTGCTTTGCAGGACAGGAAAGGAACGGAAAAAGGCAGACAGGTATGCGCTGGATTGTCAGGAGAAAGCCTATTGGCTAGTGCATCGAACACCTGTAAGTAGAATGCTGTCCTCCATAGCTGTAAAGTCTATATTGGAGGTATAGGGTCCAGAGAGCTCAGCCAGGAGCAATTTACTGCATGTTTAAGAAGGCAGCTTTGGGGGCACTGCCTCCAAGGTTGTGCTTGGCCAGCTGCCAGGGATGCAGAGGTGCACTTAGACGCAAAAAAGAGACTTTAATCCACTCTGCCGACTCACTTCCCGAACCCCTGAGACTTGCTCTTAAAGGGGAAGTAAGGAACAACTCACCACATCATCCATGCTGCGAACAGAGAATCCTAACTGCCTTTGCCCCCGGGGGGCTGTTATTTTGGAGGCACATGTCACCAGGGTGTTTCCTGAGTGAAGCCAGGCTGGTCCCAGCGTGCTGTCAGACTCTGACATGTAGCCAGGAGCTTGACTCCCTCATCCCAGTCATAATCAAAGAGCCAGTTTAATGGTGTATACTGAGTAAGTGGCCAGTGGAGAACCCAGCTGTTAACATACAGGGATGCGTCAAGCCTGAGGCAAATGTCAGCCAGTAATTAGACCTTTGCTTGCAGATAAAGCAGTTGGTGGGAGACTCTTTGCACCACTCAAATACTTTGGCCCCAGTTCATCCCCGATGCAACCCCTTTGGCTCTACCAGGGCTGAATTTGGTTCTTTTGGTTCTAATTTAGACTTAGACTAAGTACTTTTTTTCCTGGTCTGTTTCTCCATTTTCCCCAGAAGAGCTCACTACTGAGATCTAATTATTGACAATTATCTAACTATGATGGAGCTCAGGTAACTACTCAAAAATCACTTGTGCCCAAGGCAGACATAACAGTAGTACCATCCTGTCCCTTCTCATTGCCTATATCAAGGTGTGTCTCCTCTATATAGATTATTACTGAATTGAGCATGGTTTTCCCTATATACGTGCCCCTTGTATCACCCTTGATCTCCAATGGCTGAATGTCTCTGGATCTCTCCTGTTAAATCTCTCCTGGATTGTCTCCTGGTGTCACCTCTGCTTGGATGCTTCTTGGTTATCCCTTCTATAGATGTCTCTTGCTCTGTTGGCTGTCCCATATATATTCCCATGCACTTCCAGCCAACCCTGCGGCCATCTCAGGAAAGATCAATCAGTGTTTTACCTTTTTCCACCAATTGGAGGAATTATTCATTAGCAGCAGATTTCTGCACGTGACTTAAGATGGTTTTGAAAAAGCAGACACCAATGTATTGTTGTTTCTTATTTGTAACAGCCAGGCATGCAAGACATCCTCGACTACGGACTAGACCGAGTAACCGATCCCAATGAAAATAAGGTAAACTAGGTAAGGCTACTTGCTTTCAAACTTACTGATCGTACGAGGACACAGCAGGTAGATCTACATGACACTTAGAGGCTATATCTATGTGCTGCAATCTGAGGTGTGGACTGCACCTCTGCAGTAGGTGTAGACACACTTGAACTAGCTTTGATTGAGGTTGCTCAAATTACAATGGCAGCACGGGCTAGTTGCCCGAGTACATACGCGGCTTGTCCAGTCCATGTTGCTGCAGCTTCATTGCTATTAATACTCAAGTTAGCTGTATCAAAGGTACCTTGGGCATACGTTCGCTGACTGCAGTCACACCTCCGATTGCAGTGCAGACCTACTCATTGTGTGTGAATGGCGCTCCATGGATCTCCAGCGTTGCATGGCAACAGTCTGAACGAGCCATATCAAGCCAAATAACAACTGATAGGCATGTAGAACTATGCCAGAACCAGAACTGTGAAGTCAAACCCATTTGATTTTCACTTCTGCTGAGTGCAGTGGAGTTACTCTGGATTTGTGCTGGTACGGTGTGAGAGAGAGCAGAATTTGGTCCTAGGAATAGAATCTGGCAGCTTCACTTTGCTTATCAGTTTTTCAGTGGTTTCTTGCCACATTAGTTAAATCAAACAGAGTAGTGCTATTGATCTGAGAATGTAAATGAATGTAAATGATGTAGCCCTGGTGTAGACTTGTCTATAGCACTGGTTCTCAAGCAGGGCTATGCGTACCCCTGGGGGGTACATCAACTCATCTACATATTTGCCTACTTTTACAACAGACAACATATAAAGCTCTAGTGAAGTCAGTACAAACTAAAAATTCATACAATGACTTGTTTATACAGCTCTATATACTAGACACTGAAACATAACTACAATATTTATATTCCAGTTGATTTATTTTATAACGATATGGTAAAAATGAGAAAGTCAGCAATTTTTCAGTAACAGTGTGCTGTGTCACTTTTGTATTTTTATGTCTGATTTTGTAAGCAAGTAGTTTTTAAGTGAGGTGAAAGTTGGGGTATGCAAGACAAATCGGACTCTGGAAAGGGGGACAGTAGTCTGGAAAGGTTGAGAGCCACTGGTCTATAGGACTAAGTGTATGCTGTGGTAGCTAGAACCGTCCTTATCTTTCACCCATGGCTCTGCTGAAGGTGAACAGTGGAGACTGTGAGCCAGTTACTGTATATACTCGTTCATAAGCCGAATATTTTTGGTAAAAAAGTGACGCATCAAAGAGCCGGGGTTGGCTTATAAACAGGTCTACACCAAAATTTAATGATTTTAAACTCTATGGAATCATTGAATTGAATATCTAATACATTGTCGTTTTGTTTACCTGGAGTGTCTGTAGGCACGGAGCCCCTCAGCTCCCTGTGGCCACGGTTCGCTGTTCCCAGCCAATGGGCGTGCCACTTCCCACAGCTCCCATTGGCTGGGAACGGCGAACTGCGGCCACAGGGAGCCAAGGGGCTCCATGCCTGCAGACGCTCCAAGTAAACAAAATGTCCCAACCCGCCAGCGGCTTACTCTGACGGGAGCCAAAGTTTTCCAACCCCTGAAATATAGGGTCAGCTTATGAAAGGGTCATACAGTTTTTGCTATTTTTACCTATCCATTTTGGGGGTGTCGGCTTATAAATGAACAGGCTAATGAAGGAGTATATACGTATTTCAAGTGGTCCCATATTTACATGCCTAGGGTCTCAGGTGACAGCATATGTTTGGCCTGTGCTTGGTGAGCGAAGGCAGAGCATTTCTCATTGAATCAAAGGTGATGGTTGCTTTGATGAAGCTCACCCTATCTCCAGTAAACTTTTCATTTTCATAACGGCCCTTAAACAGCTCCACTGTCAGAGGCAGATAATTGCTTTGGGCAAGTGGGTTCTGTTGCCATGGCGACTGAAAAGCAGAGGAAAATGCCAGGGTTTAGTATTTTCTCTTTTTGCTCTAAGTGGGAGCTACTGAACTGTCCTTTAAAAGGAAATAAAAACATGAGTGGCTGTTGGGCTGGAGGATCCAAGCAGAGACTGAAAAGAGTAATAAGATAGACTGTCCCCCACAATATTATAGCTGGCATCATGGAAAGAGGTCTTTAGGTTTGCAAATGTTTTTAACCCTCTGATGGCTATTCAGTGGCTTATGTGAAACGAGTTAATGGTTCTCAGTTCAGTTCCTACTGGACGAAAGCCCCCACAACAAAAGAAACAATTCACTAGCACAGCTGACTCCCTTGTTAGCATCTCAGCAGAGAGCCCAAGCAGTGAAGGCCTGATGCAAAGCCCACTGAAGTCAATGCGAGAGTTTCCATTGATTTCAATGGGCTTTGATCGGGCCCTGAATGGGCCACGTGAACTTTAACACCCTCTCAGCTTTCTGGGCTCAAAGCTGGAGTATATTGGCAGGGTGATGGGAAGAGTATACTCCTATTGCCCCTGCTGTGCCTACTCCGTAGCTAAAGGAGGACTGCAGGCTTCTGAATTGTCAGGGGCCCCTTTCCACCAACACACACGCACACAATAAGACTATGATTGAAACCCCAACCCAGTGTTCCCACGGTCCGTACTGCAATATCTGCACATTATCAGGAAAGATTTTACTCTTTAATTTAGGGACAGAAAATAAGCCCCAGGGGCAGTAATAACAGGCAACTGCAAAGAAATCCAAAATTCACTCTTGGCATACTGCAGGTCTAGAGAATGTCATGGACACCAGCGACAAATCATGAACACTAGCACAAGAGGCAAGGGAGCTGTGCCTCTCACTGTTCACATTATGAGCTGGATGCTCCACTCTTTTCCTTCATGCCAGTGTAACACCATTGTGTTTCGTGGAGTTACTCCTGGTTAACACCAGTGGGAGATCAGAATCAGACCCTTTGTGTTCCCTCTCTCCCTGGGATATACTGCTGCGGTTCAAGTTAGTGGAAGCACTGCTGTTAGATTCCCCTGGATATAATAGCGAGGGAGTGGCTGGCAGGGCATTCTCTGTAAAGGCCTCCCACATCCAGTCCCGATTTGCTGGCTTTCAGAGCACCCTACAGTGCTTGTTTATTTCCCCTGGCCTTTGGAGAGAGGCAGGTGGATTGCAGTACAGACCAATGTCTGGGGGCAATATATTGTTTGCGTTCGTAGATGGGTTGAACTCATTGTGTTGCTTTTCAATTTTTGTCATTTTTATATAATTAACAGGAGGCTCAGAGCCTGTCTGTGGGCACTTTTTATTTATTCTAAATCTAAAGGAGGTAAATACAGAAATAAATGAAAATGAGTACGATTTGGTAGGTTGCTGTAAGTAACTGAGAGCAGCACAAAGAAGGAGAGGGCGAAAAGAGAAGAGGAGTGGAACAAGAAAAAGGGGCAGAAGGAGAGAGGGAATAGGAAAGAGAAAAGTGGATAAGCAGAGCAGTGGGTGTCTGGGGGAGGGATATCTTTGCAATTTTGTGGGTTTTTGCTAAAAAGCAAACGTTTTCAATTTTTCACATCCTCAGCTTTTCGACAAAGACCCAAACATTTTAGATGCAAATGGAAGTTTTTGAGCGAAGATTTCCATTTCGTGAAAAATCCACTTTCCATCGATCCAACGTGGATGAAACTCTTTTGAGAAGCTCTAGCAGTTTGGGGCTCTAAGCTGCGCCTCCGGGTGGTTGTCTCTGGAAGTTAATCTTCTCCATGCAAAGTGGATAGGACGCTTCCTGTTTCTATTTTCCATTTCAAAGTTTGATTGGAACTAATGCACCAGAATAATCGGCTGAAACACAAGACTTTTCCAGCATCTGACTAGCAGCTTTTCTTGCATTTCTTGAAAAATGCCAGGCTTTCTGGCCCCTCTAGACTGGCAGCTTTCCCAAACTCCTGAGGCTCAATCTGCAAGGAGCTGAGCAGAACGATGATACTTTTAGTCTTCTCACCAAGCACTCAGCTCTTTGCGGGATCTTGCCCTGATGGCCAAATCCTGCTCCTACTGAAGCCAATGACAGTTTTACTAATGTTTTCGATAGGACCTGGATCTAGCTATAATACATGTGGAACAATGAGGACAGGAGAAACATGTGCACTAATCCAACTGCAGTTTGCTTTATTCATGACTCTGCTTGGGCCCAGGCTATTGCATCTTAGGGTATGTCTACACTACCCGCCGGATCGGCAGGCAGCGATCGATCCAGCGGGGATCCATTTATTGCGTCTAGTCTAGATGCGATAAATGGACCCCCAAGCGCTCTCCCGTCGACTCCTGTACTCCAGCGCCGCGAGAGGCGCAGGCAGAGTTGACGGGGGAGCGGCAGCAGTCGACTCACCGTGGTGAAGACACCATGGTAAGTCGATCTAAGTACATTATTCACGTAGCTGAAGTTGCGTAATTTAGATCGATTCCCCCTCTTCCCCCACAGGGCTTAGTCTGCTAATTAGTTTTCCTTTAGCTGAAGAGAAAATATTCCCATTGATAGTTCATTTCAGACATCAAAATTACTTCTTTGAAGCTGATTTTGGAATGAGCACTATCAAAGTGCTTGCTTCTTGCCTGGGATAGTTCGTTATACAAGCTGCTCACTGTCTAGATGTTTTTTAGGTCTTTTGGGGAATAAATAGCAGCTGAGTCATGGCACTTCTGAGGTGGCTTTTAGTGCTGCCCAGTAGGTTGTGGTTGGATGAAGTCCAATGAGATGCAGATTTTCAGCAATAAGGCAAAGTCTTCCACTGGAACCACTTACCAAGGCTTGTGATAGATTCTCCATCACTTTAATTCTTTTAAAATAAGAATGGATGTCTCTCTAAAAGAGGGGCTGTATTTCAATCACAAGTTACTGGGTTTGATGCAGGGATTAGAGGGTAAAATTCTCAGACCTGTGTTATGCAGCATGTCAGACTAGATGGTCATAATAGTCCCTTCTGGTCTTAAAATCTATGAATAGCAGTAGAGTTTTACTGATAAATATGTCCATGTTAGTCACAGTTGCTAATTGAAATGATAGCGTTTGTTACTACAATTAATATAACTACTT